GAGAGAGTGGATGTGTGTGTGGTTTGTGTGTGTGTGTGTGTGTGTGACAGAGAGAGAGAGAGTGTGTTGTGTTGTGTGTGTGAGAGAGAGAGAGTGTTGTGAGTGTGTGTGTGGTGTGTGTGTGTGTGAGGGAGAGTGTGTGGTGTGTGTATGTGTGTGAGAGAGAGAGAGTGTGTGGTGTGTGTATGTATGTGTGAGAGAGAGAGAGTGGTGTGTGTGTGTGTGTGTGTGTGTGTGTGTGAGAGAGAGAGAGTGTGTGTGTGTGTGTGTGTGAGAGAGAGAGAGTGTGTGTGTGTGTGTGTGTGAGAGAGAGAGAGAGAGAGAGAGAGAGAGTGTGTGTGTGTGTGTGTGTGTGTGTGTGTGTGTGTGTGTGTGTGTGTGTGTGTGTGTGTGTGGTGTGGTGTGCCTTAAATACAAATAGAGCCTTTAAATTCCCCTGTGTGGCATCAAATCAGCTTGACATTAAGTCTTTTGTTTTTGATATTTCCCCCTATGAATCAATTATTATGAATTATTTCCAGAACAACTTTATTTCTTTTTTTACATTAATTCATTTAGGTCAGGTCAGAAACAGTTTGTAGTTGCACTATTGGTATCAATTATAACATCTGATTATAATTCAGTAATTCAACAAATGAAATGTCTCTCTTTTTAAATGACTGATAAGCAAATGGTACAATTTTGAAGCAGATGTTTTCATTATGTATGTAAGTTTTTATTTGTTTGAAAAATTAAAAGCAAGGAGATGAAGCTGCATTATCATAAGGTTGTATGTAATTTTCCTTCGCATTCAACAGAAGTAGAAACTTTATAAAGTTTGGTCAATGGCATAATGTAGGAAGCAGGAGAAGAATTTGTGAAATTATGTATATTTATATTTTTTGCTCTAATTTTTCAGAATTAAGTAAATTAATATTTTGCAAGTAGTCGGACCGTGTGTGCAACATAATGCCATATTTTGGTTAAAATCATTTTGTTTTTCTGTAAGATAAATCATACTGCTGCCAAACTCTATTCAAATTCAAGTTCAGCTTTATTTATTAAACACTTTTAACAACAACAGACATTTCAAAGTGCTGTACAATAAAGAGAAATACATAAGTACAGAATTAAAAGACAATAAGAATCTTATAGACTAATGAAACCTATTAGATTAAGCCTTCAGTCCCTTAACTGGCCCAGACTAGTTACATTATTGATACATTGCTCTTTAATGGTTAATATAATGATATCTGTTTTTCCCTGATCACCTCAGTTCTTTTGCTGGACATAATAACATGAGTCAACCAAAGATGTGTCTGCGTGAGAGGTGATTTTTAAAGATTTCTCTTTTAAATAACTTGCATGCTGTAAATCATGGTTTGCATCGTTTCTGTATGATACACTTGGAGGAAGTTGAAACCTTTGATTGGCCTGGTTTCTGCAGAAATTAGTCATAGAAACAGAAATACCACACAAACAATGAGTGTGTAAACACTCACAGTGCATGGTGGAAAAAGCCTGTGATGTAAAAGTAGGCTAATGACTTCTCCAAAAGTTAGACGGAATTAAAAGTCAGCTAAACCGAAGGTGTTAGGCAGAGCCTTTTGCGCTGTACAAAACATTTTGAGTTTGCTGTTCACGAGAAGCATTAAGTGAACCACAAAAAAGTTCTCAGAACACCTAAGATAAGAATTGTTTACTTGCATGAAAGCTTTCATTGGTAAAAGCCTTGATGTTCATCATTCCACTGTAAGACTAATAGTCTATAAATAGAGAACGTTGAGTGCTGCTGCTGCTCTTTCATGAGTGGGTGTCCTGCTAAGATGACTGCAAGAGCATAGTGCAGAAAAGACTTGCTAAGAACATGCTAATATCTGCTTTACAATGTAAAAACACTAAACAAGAACAGTGTCGAGTGGGAGGACACCACTTAGCCTTCCCACTTGCATGCTGTAAATCATGGTTTGCATCGTTTCTGTATGATACACTTGGAGGAAGTTGAAACCTTTGATTGGCCTGGTTTCTGCAGAAATTAGTCATAGAAACAGAAATACCACACAAACAATGAGTGTGTAAACACTCACAGTGCATGGTGGAAAAAGCCTGTGATGTAAAAGTAGGCTAATGACTTCTCCAAAAGTTAGACGGAATTAAAAGTCAGCTAAACCGAAGGTGTTAGGCAGAGCCTTTTGCGCTGTACAAAACATTTTGAGTTTGCTGTTCACGAGAAGCATTAAGTGAACCACAAAAAAGTTCTCAGAACACCTAAGATAAGAATTGTTTACTTGCATGAAAGCTTTCATTGGTAAAAGCCTTGATGTTCATCATTCCACTGTAAGACTAATAGTCTATAAATAGAGAACGTTGAGTGCTGCTGCTGCTCTTTCATGAGTGGGTGTCCTGCAAAGATGACTGCAAGAGCATAGTGCAGAAAAGACTTGCTAAGAACATGCTAATATCTGCTTTACAATGTAAAAACACTAAACAAGAACAGTGTCGAGTGGGAGGACACCACTTAGCCTTCCCAAAAAAAAACACAAATATCAAATCCTCATCCCAACTGTAAATTATGGTTGGAAGGTCATTATGGTTTGGGGTAATCAGTGATATATGCATATACTAGGAGGCCCTCTTGTACACTATCTGAGGCTCAGCAGAATGTGGGCGATGTGACAGGACAACAACCCGAAGCACTGTTGCCCAGCGACAGCCCCAAAACATTACTGCTCTTGAGGAATGGGCCAAAATACCAGCAACCGTGTGTGAAAACCTTGTGAAGACTTACAGAAAATGTTTGACCTCTGTCATTGCCAACAAAGGGTATATTATAACAAAGTATTGAGATGAAATTTTGTTATTGACCAAATACTTATTTTCCACCTTAATTTGCAAATAAATTCTTTAAAAATCCTACAATGTGATTTTCTGGATTTTTTTTCTCATTTTGTCTCTCATAGTTGAGGTATACCTATGATGAAAATTACAGGCCTCTCTCATCTTTTTAAGTGGGAGAACTTGCACAATTGGTGGCTGACTAAATACTTTTTTTCCCCACTGTATGCTTTCTGTCATCATGACCTCAGCCCAACTCGGATGCTTTGGCTTGGCCTCAACTAGACATCCCATCATAGCATAGATTTAGGTACTTTCAGAAAATCTGGGCATTTTTCCCTCATGGAGCTCAGAGGAGTATTTCTTGTAGTTCACCAAAAAAATTACAATTCTGTTCATGCATTCTTACATACAAACAGTACAGATATGAGCATTAATGTGACACGTGTGCATGTACGTATTTCTTGTAGTTCAACAAAAAATGGAAATTCTATTATGTACTTACTCTTGTCTCATGTTATTTCAGACCAATGGGGTCCAAAACAACATCTTGCTCAACAGAAATAAATGGTGTGTGTGTGTGTGCGTATTCGTGAGTGTGTGCGCGTGTGTGTGCGTGTTCGTGTGTTCGTGTGTGTGTGTGCGCGTGTGTGTGTGCGTGTTCATGTGTGTGTTTGTTTGTGTACGTGTGTATCTGTCTGTGTGTGTGTGTGTGTGTGTTTGTTTGTGTGTGCGTGTGTGTGTCTGTCTGTGTGTGTGTGAGAGAGAGTGTGTGTGTGTTTGTTTGTGTGTGTGTCTGTCTGTCTGTCTGTCTGTGTGTTTGTGTGTGTGTGTGTGTGTCTGTCTGTGTGTGTGTGTGTGTGTGTGTGTGTGTGTGTGTGTCTGTCTGTCTGTCTGTGTGTGTGTGTGTGTTTGTGTGTGAGAGAGTGTGTGTGTGCATGTTTATGTGGTTTATGAGGACACAAATTTGTATAATAATATGGGTATGACATAGGTATTACAACAAGAAGGTGATTTATGAGGACATTTGCAGTGTCCCCGTAATTCAAAAGGCTTATAAATCACACAGAATGGAGTGTATTGAAAATCTAAAAATGCAGAAAGTCTCCTGTGAGGGGTAGGTTTAGGGGTAGAGTTGGTGTAGGGCAATAGAATATACGGTCTGTACAGTATAAAAACCATTACACCTATGGGATGTCCCCACAAGGATAGCTGACCAGACGTGTGTGTGTGTGTGTGTGTGTACTTTGTATTCTGTACATTATGAGGACCAAATGTCCCCATTTTGACCTTGTGGGGACAATTGTTTTTGGTCCCGATGAGGAAAACATCTTTTTTAATTATTTTTTTTATTTTGTGATCCCATTCACTGGAACGGAGGCTGTTCAGATAAAAACGCAGGGCCGGATTAACCATATGGTGATTTGGGCACCATGCAGGGCCGTATAAATGTTCTCAACTAGCATGAACTGTAATACTTGGTGGAGTATCGTATCTAACTACCCATATTAACCAGCCAAACTTGACCTCTTGAGCTGGACTGAGATCCGATCTTAAATTACTACAATTATGTGCATTCATTTGTTTGCTTTCTAAATTCACAGTAAATCACATAAAGTTGTATTAAGATCATTTTTCATTTAAAAAATCAGACAAATACTTCTCATATCTGATGTTTTCCTGCACCTCCTCTTCAGCTCCTCTTTCTTCCCCCGTGTTCTCTCCATCTCTCCTCTGCTGAGTCTGAGTCTGAAGCAGAATGTAGGTCAGCAGTGGAGATACCAATCAGAAACAGCTGTGTTTGTTTTTGTGCATAGAGTGAGCGGAGGTCAGCGATTTCTGCTTTCTGTCTCCTTCTTCTTGTTGTTTCCTCTTACTTCTTTCCCCTCTCTCAGTTCCCAGTCTAAAAAAGTTACGTTTACTATCCCTTTTCTCTGACCCCCCGTGTTCTCTCCATCTCTCCTCTGCTGAGTCTGAGTCTGAAGCAGAATGTAGGTCAGCAGTGGAGATACCAATCAGAAACAGCTGTGTTTGTTTTTGTGCATAGAGTGAGCGGAGGTCAGCGATTTCTGCTTTCTGTCTCCTTCTTCTTGTTGTTTCCCTCTGACTTCTTTCCCCTCTCTCAGTTCCCAGTCTAAAAAAGTTACGTTTACTATCCCTTTTCTCTGATTTATGATGATGATAACACCCCAGCTCTTTCTATCCTAACGATATATATTGTTAGAAGGAGTAGGCCGGTTAAACCAAAATGAAAAATCTGTCATTATATGTTCAACTTCACGTCATTCCATTCACTGAGAATCACAGAAGGTGACATTTTACTAGTAGAGCTCTTTTAAAAATCTTTAATCACTGAAGCTCTTGCTGAGCTTAATGGACAGAACTTTCATTTTTGGGTGAACTGATCTTTTAATGAAAATAGTAATAATAAGTTAACATGCTTCTTCTGCTGACTTATGTTAACAACCTTGAGAAAGTGATTTTTTTTTTTGTGACGTGCAAACTTAAACATTTGGTTTTGAACACTTCTGCTGAATTGTTAAGAAGAACACCGAGCAAAAGGTTTTATAATATCTGTCATGGAATTACATTACAGCTATTACATTTCCAGCTTTTGCAAATAATAAAAAATAAAAAAAAAATTTCAATATAAAATTACAAAATCAGACAAACCCATTTTAAATCATTTAAATTCTTTTTTAAATTTAACTGATCTTTTAATGAAAAAAAGTCAAAAACTGGAAAAAGAATTAAGTTAACATACTTAATCTTGAGAAATAGATTTTTTTGTAACGTGCAAATTTAAACATTTGTTTTTGAACACTTGTTTTTCACATTCTGCTGAATTGTTTAGAAGAACAACAAGTTCTTGCAATAAAAAAGAAATCAAGAATGACAAGTGATAGCCATCATTTTGCAGCAACGGGTTTTTATCAAATGTATACCTGTCATGGAATTACATTATAGCTATTACATTTCCAGCTATTTCAAATCATTTGGATTTTTTTGTGCTTTTTTTCAATATAAATATGCACGCAAAATGTAATTTTTTTACACTTACAAAATCAGTAAAACGTATTTAAATAATTTGTTCAATTCTTGTTTTGAAGCTCTAAAAAGCAGCTACTTTGAAAACAAGTGCAGAAGGATGCCGACCGCGCCCTGGACGCCTTCTCTATCAGCAGCACACTTCGCTCGAGCCATTTAATGATAAATACGAACTAATTAACACCTAACTTTTTAAACGTCAATAAGTGAGATGCAGGAGCATCTGAATGTGATTGCAGCTCAGTAAACGATCAGAAACCTGACTCTCAAGAACACTTCCTCTCGCTGACTTCTTCCAGAGACGCAACTTTGTCGCCGCCAGCACAGTTCCACGAACGAGGTTACAAGAAGACACGCCCAGCATTTCCGTCGTCCAATCAGCAGCTCGTATAGTGTTCGACAGACCAATGAGCGATTTAGGGGTTGAGTCACACGTACTGTTGCTAGGGCAAGGCTGCAACATTGTTACTATCACTGACTAACCAATCATGTGACATTTCGCAATGTGTCAACATCTTTCCTGTGAACTTCTCTTTGAAGTCTTTGATTGGATACAAATGTTTCTTGGTTCCGCCTTTCATACTTTTTTCTGTTGTGTGATTGGACGAAGAAGCCATCGCTCGCGCTCCAGATTTTAGTTTACGTGCAGTCTGCATTCAGTCCTGTCGAGAGTCTCCACGACTCAGAATACAGCTGCTCACATCGAGCGTCGTCGCTTTTTTTGTTTTGTTTTGTTTTGTTTTGTTTTACACCATTTGTTAAACAGTGCACAATACGGTTTTTTGGTATTATTTTTATTTCTGTAAATACATCAGGATGGAACTTAATCACATCGAGCGTCGTCGCTTTTTTTGTTTTGTTTTGTTTTGTTTTACACCATTTGTTAAACAGTGCACAATACGGTTTTTTGGTATTATTTTTATTTCTGTAAATACATCAGGATGGAACTTAATTCTCTTCTACTTCTTCTTGAGGCAGCAGAGTATTTGGAAAGAAGAGACAGAGGTATAGCCTAATGATGTTTGTGTGGTCAACCCCAAAAATAGTCTTTGTAATATTTATATATTGTTGTTGCACTGGTCTAATGTCCCTTCTAAACCTGCCGGCTGAACAAGTGCATTTAATCCAAGCCCAAAAGGACGATGGCATCAGTTATTGAGTCTATAATTATTCAATAATCAGAGATATCTGGTTTACGTGAGTGCCATTCGTCCCAGCCTCTGTTCAAATGGGACTGCTTTACAGTAAGCTGATAGAAGCATAATTGGTCAGATATGAAAACATATCAAGTGCCTAACTTTCTAACATTCCCATTTGCGTTGAGTGAGTCGCACAGGTCTGTATTTAATGCTGGTTTGTTGGCTTTCTCTCTAGAAGCTGAACACGGTTACGCATCGCTTCTGCCGCACGATAGCGACTTCTCCAGAAAGAAAACTAAATCATCTTCCATTTCCAGAAAACCCCACAACAATAGGTAAATGCAGTACAGTGACATTGCTATATTAACGGATGAATACATTCAAACGATGTTTATTCTTCATGCAATCGCCATTTTTGTTGTTGGGCTTGGCTGTGTATAAATATTGCCACGCGTACAGCCAATCAGAGCCAAGCACCGGAACTCTCCGCTTTATAAATCAGGTTTATCATCATAACACTGAATATTCCTTTATTCGTGAGATCATTGGGTACACATCACTGCTAATGAGTTTTAATTTCTGTGTGTCTACAGAAGTGGATGTTGACATAGAGGGGATGGAGTTCACAGCAGGTGAGGGTGATAGCGTGGACAGTGTGAGCGATGGTGAAGACCACTACAGCCTGCAGAGCAGCTCCAGCGATGGAGGCCACCGTTCACATTCCTGCAGATTACAGGCTCACATCTGCTAGACCGCAGCAGTGTGTCACCTACACACACACATCAGCCATCACAGCTGGCAGGAAGCACCTGGCTGATTTACACTCCTCGGAAAACTCTCAACCCTTGCAACGCTTTATATCAAACCCTCCCCAACCCCACAAATACACACAGACAAGCAATATGTGGTTTAGAAAGAACATGTGGTAATGCAGTTTTAACTTGTCTCTTCTGCTGTGTATGAGTGAGAAAGTGTAGCTCTGTTCCAAAACCTAGTCATCTACATGAACCGTTCTAAGGCAGCATCTTAACTGAAAGGGAATAGGCTTGCTTATGTGATTTTACTGTGTATTTTTGGCTGCGTTTACACTTGCACAAAATCAGATTTTTTTAATGACTAACATCTGACTTCGATTGTAAATCGGTGCACATGTGTAAACACAAAAATCTGCCCAAGATCCATTTTTTCACACAAAGTAACGCATTACTTTTAAATTTACAAGAGTTACTTTTTCAAATGAGTAATGCAAGTTACTTAGTTTCCCCACGTATTGACGGACAGCTCTCCTGTCCTCATGTTGAGAGAAATCGAGTGCAGAGACAGAGACTCTTCCTTCAGCCTGAGGCTTAATCATTTCACTTTCAGTGTGAACGGCCCTTTACAGCTGCCAAAAATATAACCTCTGGGTTTTTTGCTATTAAAAACAAATATAGAAGCGAAAGTAACGTATGCATTACTTTCCATAAACCGTAACGAAGTAACGCAATTAGTTACTTTCCCCAACACCTTCCAAATATGGTGTTAAATCAGATACATATCCCATATCTGGAAATCTGACCTACTGTACGTCTAAACATGTATATATGATTCATGTATATATTTAACCACAAGATAACTAGTCTCATGGTCGTATTATGAAGCACAAAAGCCTGTATGCACTCGCACAAATCACAGCTGCTTTCATTGAGGCGAAATCTTTAGATTAGGGTAATAGATAAGGAAACATTCAGGAGCATGGAAGCCCGTCTCATGATTTTTATGAATAAAATAGGTTCTTTACTGAACTCTAAATTGCATTTTTCAGCAACAAAGTGATAATTATTCCTGTGGAATTATTCTAGTTTGGACCGGAATGAATGTAAACGCACATATTAGAGTCGTGTCTTATATGATTAAAAACAGAAGGGACAAAAACGGATTTGATCAAAAGATCAGATCAGCGCATTAATGTAAACGCAGCCAAAAAAAGTGGGGAGTAAGTCTATAGTACCCGAAATGCTATCTAGGCAGCTCACTAGGTTTGTGCATAGAGCTTGCTTGTGTGTCAGTTCATTTTGCATTATAGGTTTGAATAGGATTCCTGTGTGGTTCCTGAAAGTGCAAGTCGTAGCATAATGCACACTAACAGACTCCATAATAGACTAATGGAACGGGAGCAAAAGGACAAAACTTCAGGGCACTTCCAGGAATCAGTGGATTCTATTTCAGCATTCATCTCACGTAGTTAAACTGACCGTGAAGATTCATTAATTGGATACTTCTTTGCGAAAAGATGATTCATACTTAAAGCACAAACAGGAGTGGTGTGCAAATGCATCAGTGTAGAAGTCTTCATCTAAAACTACTAAAGCAGTAGTAAATGATGTAGCAATAAACTTAATGCACTGAACCTGAGAAGACCTGAGAAGATGAACAGAGCTGTTTTGTTTCAGTTGTGTGTAAGTATGGCCAGCACTCAAACAGACAAGTTAAAACTGCATGACCGACCGTGCATGTGAAGGTGTAGGGGTGGAACAAGCTCTGTCGAGGTGCCGGTACTGTCGGAAAATTATACTGATGCTTTTAGTCCTGTGTATTTCCCCGTAACTTACTTGCAATAATTTTTGAAGGCTTTATTCTTCAGCAGTATATATGCAGTGCAGTGTGCAATATTCCGTGTATGAAAGAAGAAAGTGCTGGGAATTCCAGCTCTTCACAGACAGTCCCAGACCAAAATACAAAGAAACAGAAATATATATATATATATATATATTTGATTTTAACAAGTGTATTTTCTGTAGTAGCTTTTGTATTATATTTTCCTAAATGGTCCTTGATTAAAAGACAATGTGCTTAATGTGACCCTGCAGCACAAAAGCAGTGTTGAGTCGCTGGGGGATATTTGTAGCAATAGCCAACAATACATTGTATGGGTCACAATTATACATTTCTCTTTTATGCCAAAAATCATTAGGATATTAAGTAAAGATCATGTTCCATGAAGATATTTAGTAAATCTCCTACCGTAAATATATCAAAACTTAATGTTTGATTAGTAATATGCATTGCTAAGAACTTCATTTGAACAACTTTAAAGATGATTTTCTCAATATTTAGATTTTTTTGCACCCTCAGATTCCAGATTTTCAAATATTGTGCTATCCTAACAAACCATACATCAATGGAAAGATTATTTATCCAGCTTTCATATGATGCATAAACCTCAATTTCGAAAAATTGACCCTTATGACTGGTTTTGTGCTCCAGGGTCACATATGAGAATAACAGAAAATGAGGCCAGGCTAATGTTTGGGAGAGCTCTGGCGTTTGTCCTGACTGTCATGCTGTGCCTTGACTTGTCGTATCCCTGTTCCTTTGATTCATCCCTCCAAACCAGCACAAAAGCACAACCTGCCAGCATCCTCAGAATAGACTCGTCCTATGTCCTTTTGACATAAAGGACATAATTCCTCACAAACGTGCTTTCCATTCCGCCATGCAGCATCCTCCACACATGCAACACTGGTCATCTTCTCTTGTGGCAGCTCGTCTCACCTAATCAATTTAATCTTCATAACAGCTGTCTTTTTGTTATCCTTATGCCTAAGATGTGCTTTGTGTTTCAAACAATGAAGTGGAAGACCTTGGGAGAAGAGCATTGGATTCAATCATTAATGGCAGCTCGAGTCCTCCCCACCGTCTCCCAACGGTTGTTCCTGTGTCTTAGTGTTAAAGCGTGCTTAAGGTGATCAAAGTATCTGATCCTCTGCCCATAAAAGCAAAGAGACAGCAATATGATTCTTGTGTTTGCAAAGGTGTGCGGTGTTGTATTAGAAAGCAGCACTGTTTCACAATTATGGTGCATATTGTGACCAACTTTTTTTTTTTTATCTCTCCATTCTCTGCAAACACTCAAAGGAGTATGGAAGCCCATTTCTGCCACAGACAAAAAAAAAAAAAAAGGTCAATGTGACTTTTTATTTCACAATTTGGATTTTGTTTCTCGATGGGTATAACGTTTTTCTCACAATTGTCAGTGAAAACTGAATTCAGAGTTTACATCTTGCAATTTTTTTTTAGTATAATAAGAGTCTTTTTATTTCACAATTCAGATTTTTTATTTTTTTTTGTAATTGTGAGTTTGTCTCACAATAATGACATTTCTTCACAGAATTGCGAGTTTTTGTATATTATTTTATGCTTGATAAAACTCTATCTTTTTATTTTGTGGCAGAAATGGGCTTCCAAAAAGGATGGAGCTTTGTTTTATTTTTAAGTATTGTTGTATTCTCTTGAGTTTTATTTTATATATATTTCCTGAAAGCTACATTTTTATGAAGAGTTTACATTTATGTCATGGATATGCCTGACTGTTGTAGCAAAACTACTCTTTTTCAGTGTGTGCTGATCAAGTGAAGTCAACCTCTTGCACAGAACCTCCCGTTAACATGCTTTGATTGAGAGTTCAGAGAATCTAACAAATCTCTGCCAGATCGTAGCTTTCATTGGCATTATCAAAGAAGTCACATGCCAAACACGGGAAATCAAGCTAAAGCCAGTTTCCAGTGTGATGAGAGAAATACTTTGTGGCAGAGACGGGGCTATTCAGTGGCTGCAGGGGTTTTGAAAGCTTTAAAACACTAAAGTGAGGGAATGTCAGCAGACAGGCACAGATATAACTATGCGTCCAAGGATCTTAAATGTGTGTTCCAACACTCGGCACAAAAGAAAACGGGAAGACACAAATGATACTTTGTGTTTGCTGGGCTTTGCAGTGTGTATGATTGAGAATACTTATTCAATGCAGCAGGAAAAGTAGACAGAAAAACAGACCAGAGTGACCAAGAAACAAATATACAGCTATGTAAAAATTCCTTTTACCTTTGTTGTATAAAAGCACTAGAAGAGAGAAAGAGAAATATTCCTGCCATATAAATTCTATTAGATATAGACTTTTATTTTTCTAACCCCTCCCAATAATATCAGATTTCTATCTTTATATGACTATAGATTTGTGACCCATATTTTCTGCTCACTCCTCCTCTCCCCTGCTTTTATTTGTTCTGTGTTCACGGCGCGCTCGGCTTGTGTTTTAGCTTGAGAAAAACTTGCGGAAAGAGCAGACTGAGAAAGGGAGGGTTCTGTGCTGGAGACCTGTGAACAGATGTCCTTTTAGGAAACAAGTAATATGCATTCAGATGTTGTATAATATTGTAAAGGTACTTTTTTGTTCTGTGTGTGTGTGTGTGTGTGTGTGTGTACATACACATATTTACCTGGTGCTGGCTATGTTTGAGCCCACACTCTAAGGTATTATGTATTCTTGTATTGTAATGTAATTAATTAAAATGTTTTATACATACTGGCTCTACAGAGTCATTATTTGCAACAATCGTTGTGAAAATACAGCTTTGTAGTGTAGATCACTATTTTTTCTTACCCAGTACTGTCAGTCAGTCATTTTTACAATAAAATACTATTTCAATCAGTTCAAAATTTCCTCTTTAATTCAGTGTGCTGCTTCTTTGTAATTATTTGTGAAATTTACTAGCAATTTTTGAAGTGAAATGTAGCATTGCATAATGGGATGTGACAATGTTTCAGCGTTAATAGATATAACTGTTATATGGCACAGCATGTTACGTTTTAAGAATGATTTGTTTGTAATAGTTTGTGTTTCGGGTAGCTCACTAACCTGAGTGAGAGCACATGATACATCACATCTATTTATTGTCTGCATTTACATCTGCAATATGTCTTGAAGATTGTTTGGTTGTTTCAGAATGTGTGTAAATCTGCTTTTTCGAACTGACGTTTATCAGATGTTTTTACACAGCAGATGTTGAAGAGCTCTTAGAGATGTACCTGTGCAAGCTGGGTAATAGCTAACGTTCTGTAATAATGCTTTTGCATAAATTAGGTTTTTATGATTAACAGTTATATATATATATATATATACACACTACCGCTCAAAAGTTTGGGATCAGTAAGACTTGTAATGTGTTTAAAGAAGTCTCTTCTGCTCATCAAGGCTGCATTTATTTGATCAAAAATACAGAAAAAACACTAATATTACGAAATATTATTGCAATTTGAAATAATGGTTTTCTAATGTAATGTATGTCTGTGATGCGCAGCTGTATTTTCAGCATCATTCCTCCAGTCTTCAGTGTCACATGATCTTCAGAAATCAGTATAATATGCTGATTATTATTAATATTGGAAACCGTTTTGCTGCTTCATATTTTTTTTGGAACCTGTGATGCTTTTTTCAGGATTCTTTGAGGAATAAAACGTTAAAAAGAAAAGCATTTATTCAAAATAGAAATAATAAATGCTGTTCTTTTTTAATTAAACGTTATTCATCAAACAATCCTGAAAAAGTATCACAGGTTCCAGAAAACAAAAAAATATTAAGCAGAAAATTCAGCTTTGATCACAGGAAAACATTAAAATAGAAAACCATTATTTTAAATTGCAATAATATTGTTTTCTATATTCCTGATCAAATAAATGCAGCCCTGATGAGCAGAAGAGACTTCTTTAAAACACATTACAAATATAAAAAAAAAAAGCAGCAGTGAACTATTAAATTCTACTTGTTTGAATATTAGAATAATTAAATGCTCCTCCAGCTTCGGCGTTGCTATTTTAATCAACATAATTGTGTTTTAGTATTTTAAAATTATGAAATTAAAATTATAAACCATATCTAGAAGGAACTGCTTCTCTGATACATAAGTAACGCTTTAAATTTGATTCACTTGTTGTCTGGGGTATGGTTGAAGGGCTTTTATTTTGAAGTGAATAACAGGAAGTTCCGAAAGTTTGCCAGCGCGTCAGATCCGAAGTGTTCTTGTTTTGTGACGTCACGATCGAGAGCAGTCGTGTCGTTTCGGGTCGTGATTAAACGCGTTACATGTTCGCATTCGGAGCAATATCGTGAAATATCGTGACTTGGTCTTTGAAGCGGCTCTGGTTGGTTAGGCAGTAAGTTACATGAGATTCAGCTCAGCATGCATTGGTGGATTCTGTAAAGCCTTATTATGTATATAAATGTTCTTTTGTTTGTTCCGGATACTTAAGCTCAGAGTTCAGAGGATCTGAGTAACTTACTCCCAAAGTCTCAACAAATACATAGAACAGTAAGAGATGCTTTCTTTCTCTTTTTTTCCTACGTTTCTGTTAAAAAGTAGTTTATTACTAATAGGAAAAATTAAGGTAACACTTTATTTTACACACAATTAATTATGCATAATTACATGCAAGTAACCCTACGCCAAACCCTAACCGTTTAGTAAGTACATGTAGTTAATTAATATCACTCAGTACTTAAATGTATCATTACTAGTGCGGTCAAGCGATTAATCGCTTTCAAAATAAAAGTTTTTGTTTACATAATATTGTAATAGTGTGTGCTTTGTTTATTTATTATGTTTATATAAATACACACACATACAGAATATATATTGAAAATATTTGCATGTACATCTATATATAAATATATTTAATATATAAACATAACACGTTTTTGTTAAATATATACATGCATGTGTTTGTATTTATATATGCATAATAAATATACACAGTACACACTCAAAAACTTGTATTTTGGATGCGATTAATCGTTTGCCAGCACTAATAATTACACTGTAACAAGGACACCTTAAAATAAAGTAACCAAAATTAATAATATGAGTAAACTCGATCGCGTAAATAGTGTTTACATGACCGTATTTACTTGTATCTGGCGGACAAAAGCTTTTCAAATATTAATAAACAGTGAAGCTGTTTTGTTAAAATAATACTTTTAAAAATAATAATAAAAGATTATGCTATAGTACCGAATACTTATCGTTTTTATTACTATTATTATTATCATCATATCGGGACAGTTGAGTCACCTGTAACCTTTCTGCCATTCCCCTTATTCGTTTAATTTATAATGTTATCCAAACTTGAACACTTTATCATTTTACACACAAATGTAGCAAATGCTGAGAACAAGTAGCCTAATAATTCAAACATTTCTCCCGTTAGGTCATGGCATCACCGCAGATGAAGGAGCGTCCATCGGGCGCTGTGTTAAACACTATATCAAAAGGAGCATCTCCAGAATCCAAATGCCCGATATGCCTGGATCACTTCAAAAACATATCGTACCTTGATGTGTGCCTGCACAAGTTCTGCTTCTGCTGCATCCGCGAGTGGTCGAAGAACAAAGCGGAGTGCCCTTTATGCAAGCAGCCGTTTAATTCAATTTATCACACCATAAAGTCCGAAGATAACTACCAGAGGTTCGACCTGCGACCAACTGAAAACGGCTCTTTTGGCAACATGGCAGGGCAGAGATTCAGGTATCGCACCACGCTCACCGGCGAGCGCAGGCTAGCGCCGAGGAGAACGTCGTCTCCTCCTGACCACGGGGTCTTATTCGAGGACCTAAGAGGATCTGTTCCTCAGCGGCACAACAGAGATCTCCACAGCATGTTAAGGAGGTTGGCAGAGGAGAGACAGAGGAGAGAGAGAGAGGGAAGGTCCCTGCGGAGTCTTCACGAACAACAAGCGGTTAAATTCAGACGGGCCTTGTACAGGAGAGGCGTGCGAGTCCAGAACGTGCAGGACGGTGGCCGTAGCAGGGAGACTTCTGCAGAGTTCTTCAGAAGAAATCCTGCTTGTCTCCACAGGCTTGTGCCTTGGGTGAGACGAGAGCTGGCTGTCCTGTACGGTACTCACGGGTCGCTTGTCAACATAGTGCAGCACATCATCATGACTCTGATCACTCGGCATAACTTGGACGAGCAGGCTGTTCTGCATGAGCTCCGGCCCTTCCTGCTGACCCATACAGAGCACTTCTTGCACGAGTTTCTTAGCTTTGCTCGGTCCCCGTTCAACATGGAGGCATATGACCAGCGCGCCGTTTACGACTTGCCTCGGGCCTCCGGAGAGAGCAGCCGTTCGGAAACCTCTGTGATCGCCATCTCTGAGGACGAGAGCGATTCTTTAGTGTCAGGATCCCAGGATTATGCCACTCCTAGTGTGACCTTAAGCCAAGCGCCGTGGGATGATGAGACCCCAGGGCCATCCTACTCCTCATCTCAGGTGTTACCTTTCCATGTGAGGGACTCGGATTCTGATAGTAGCGTAGGGGAGGCAGTAGTGTCTGTCGCCGCCGTGCCTCATCAGGACCGTGCGGGAAATCCTGGCACTGTTGCCGTGGAAGAGGAGCATTCCTCTGGCAGTGATGAAGACTGCATGATTATCGGACATGTTAAGCCAGTGTCAGAAAGGACACCGGAACTGGTCCTGCTTTCCTCTGATTCAGAGCAGAACGCCGAGCCGCAGAGCCCTCGAGCACCCCAACACAATCGTTTTACTTCAGAGTCTGATTTGTCTCCCGCTGACGCTCAGAGGAGGCCGACGAGATGCTCTCGCTCGCCTGAGAACACCTCTACTCGCTCAAGAAGAGATAAATGTGGCAAAAGGCATCATGAGAGAGAGCTGTCGGGATCTAGAGAAAGATCCTCATGCAGCAATAGGACTCACTCCTCCTCTCGTGGCAGGAAACACCCATTGTCTAAAGAGAGCAAGCATAAGCGGAGACGAGAAAAAGAGTCAAGCCGCCACACCTCGTCATATTGGCATTCATATAGCCATTACAGTCAAAAAGACAGCAGCAGGAGATGTTATACAGAGACATGCTCATCCTACACCAGCTATTATAGAAGTGTACATCGCTCTCGTTCTCGATCACATGGTAGAAGGCAAAGCAGGGACAGTCAGGACAGAAGTCACTCAAGCAGCCAATCTAGAATCAAGCCCAGCTCCTCCAACCGTCAGGACAGAAGTCGCTCGAAGAGCCGATCTAGAATCAACTCTTCCAACCGTCAGGACAGAAGTCGCTCGAAGAGCCGATCTAGAATCGACTCTTCCATCCGTCAGGACAGAAGTCACTCAAGCAGCCGATCTAGAATCAAGCCCAGCTCCTCCAACCATCAGGACAGAAGTCGCTTGAAGAGCCGATCTAGAATCAACTCTTCCAACCGTCAGGGCAGAAGTCACTCAAGCAGCCGATCTAGAATCAAGCCCAGCTCCTTCAACCGTCAGGACAGAAGTTGCTCGAGGAGCAATTCTAGAATCAACTCTTCCAATCGTCAGGACAGAAGTCGCTTGAAGAGCCGATCTAGAATCAACTCTTCCAACCGTCAGGACAGAAGTCACTCAAGCAGCCGATCTAGAATCAACTCCAACTCGCATCAGACATCACATCACGATGAACATGGCAGGAAAAAGAAATACAAAACGAAGCATCATGAGGAACCCACAAGGAAAAGTTCTAGTCAATTGTTCACAGATTCTGTTGAGGATGGTGCAAAAAAGAAAATCAAGAAGCACAAGAAGTTCAAGAGGAAAAGTAGGAGTCCAAGCATAGATGACAGATCTGAGGATCACAGTCGGAATCATCACAAGAAGAAGAAGAAGAAACACAAGAGGAAGAGCAGGAGACATAGTAGTGAGGAGACGGTGGGCAAAAACAGCCCAGTTCTCATAACAATTCCTAGTGACAGTGACGCTGCTGACCCCAGTGAACCCTCAGCCAGGAATATCAGTGCAGCTGACTCCACGGTCACAATAGCAAGCAGTGCCACAGAAACTCAGCCGCTAGACGGGGAGCAAGAGTCAGCTGCTGGAACTGAATGTAGTTCTGTGGGGGATGCAGGGAATCGCCCCCAGACATGTGTGGCAAATCAAGACTGACAAAGTTTTATAAATGGAGAAGAGATTTGTTTTAAATGAGATTTTGATTTGGAGTTTTTGGATATATCTGCATTTGTGATTTTGGAAATGTATTAATTTCAGACTCCCCTATGCAAGCAAGTTAACAGTCACTAATTTTCAAAGTTTACTGTCCCTGTCGCAAATAAATAAAAAAGGATCATGAAAGTGTCTTTATTTACTGAATGTTGTATTTCTCTGTGTATGTTTGCTTAAAACAGTCTGGAATCAGTTTCATGCACAGGCATTCATTATTCTTTTTTCTTTTTTTTTTTGTCCATTACGGTTTATGACTCATGAACTCAGATTTCTAAAACAATTTCAGAAAATACATTAAATTTAATCAATACATTGATGCCAAAAATAAATAGGCCTACTTTGGTTTTTTCTTAGTAGTGCATACTGTACAAACTATTGATAAAAGTGATGATAAAGACATTTATAATGTTACAAAAGACTTCTATTTCAGATAAATGCTGTTCTTCTGAACTTTCAATTCATCAAAGAATCCTGAAAAATCCTACTCTGCTGTTTTAAACAGGATAATAATTATAATAAATGTTTCTCGAGCAGCAAATCAGCATATTATACTGATTTCTGAAGATCATGTGACACTGAAGACTGGAGGAATGATGCTGAAAATACAGCTGCGCATCACAGAAATAATTTATATTAATCCTGGTTTCTTAGTTCATGCCAGTTCCATGATTTTATTGAGGTGTGTTGTCATGATGGTGTTTAGTGGGCTAAATCATGCACCATATTCTTTCAGACTGTTGTTGTACTTTCTGGGTATCTTAGAAAAGATGGATTACTGTGCTATCTATCATGTATAGGGCGGGTTTATGTGATCTCTGCTAGAGGACAGTAGGTGGCGCTACTGCGCTTCTTTCTTCTGCGCCGCGCCATCAAACAAGAAAGAACTAGGAAGCTGATGTTACATTTCTACACGTGAAAGAAAATGGCATCGAACGGTCACGTAAAGGTAAATGTAATATTCTGATCATGAAACACACGGGTGAACACATGGCTTATGTAAGAAAATAGTTGAGGAGGTGGCACACTGCAGTGTTTTCACGTCAACACGCCACTAAGCAAATGTTGCATGGGTTTCTGAAATTAGGCGTGTCCTCCTGAGGAGCAGAAAAAGAGTTTTGTGAATGCTGTTGTTGTTTTTATGTCATTACATTGGTTGGAGCATAAGAGAGTAATAGAGAGACATTTAAAAAAAATAAAAAAGGATATTTTATTCTATGCACTTTGTAGAGGGTTGAGTTATTTCAAAAAAGTAAATAGACATGAAAAGGCATGCATAGGCAAAAAAATTGGTTTTTCATTCACCAATCAGTTTTTAGGTTTCAGGCTGTTTTAACCAAACTCTGCACAAAGATGATTCTCAGCTATGTTATGAAAGATATAATAGTATGATTTGATACTATTTAGCAAATGTCCATCCGAACGGTCACGTAAAGGTAAATGTAATATTCTGATCATGAAACACACGGGTGAACACATGGCTTATGTAAGAAAATAGTTGAGGAGGTGGCACACTGCAGTGTTTTCACGTCAACACGCCACTAAGCAAATGTTGCATGGGTTTCTGAAATTAGGCGTGTCCTCCTGAGGAGCAGAAAAAGAGTTTTGTGAATGCTGTTGTTGTTTTTATGTCATTACATTGGTTGGAGCATAAGAAAGTAATAGAGAGACATTTAAAAAAAATAAAAAAGGATATTTTATTCTATGCACTTTGTAGAGGGTTGAGTTATTTCAAAAAAAGTAAATAGACATGAAAAGGCATGCATAGGCAAAAAAATTGTTTTTTCATTCACCAATCCGTTTTTAGGTTTCAGGCTGTTTTAACCAAACTCTGCACAAAGATGATTCTCAACTATGTTATGAAAGATATAATAGTATGATTTGATACTATTTAGCAAATGCCCATCCGATTCTATACAATGTATCTATACATTGCATCTAATTTGAATATTAATGTGTTCCTGGTGCAAACCATAATGAAAAAAGAAGTGTAATAATGGGAGGAATAACGTGGCAACATTATCATAAGAATATCTCATATTTCATAGGAATATTGTATAGTTGTGTTTCCCTGAAATGCCTGATTAACAGCTGTTTGTCCTGGAGTCCTCTACAGAAGACATGTATGAAAATTACACCCTGTTTCGTAACAAAAAGCCATTTAACATTTTTCTGAGATGTTTATTTATTTAGAAAATTAGTCGGATTTAAATTATAATTACAAAACATTGTCATATTTCCCTAAGAGTGCCACATTTGATAATTCTGTCAATATGAGTCATATTTAAAGAGCAAGCAGAGGGAGTGTTTATGATCAAACCTCCTGAAAAGCAGCGGTCTCAGAGAATTCACTAAAATATAAAGTCCTCTACAGAGGACAGAAGTCTGTCGGGGTCCCGGGAGGATATATGCTGTATTTTTATATTTGTGACATAATTGTAACGCAATTGTAACATTGCAGACTGTTTTGTGCAGACGATACTCTCTACAGTTTTTTCACTTTGTATCAAAGACGTTTCATTGTGACAGTTTGTCAGTAAAATATAAACTAAAACATACGAAACAGCTATCCTATATTTTGGTTGAAATAATGAAATCACTATGAAGTGACTCTCTAACAGCTCCCTGATTGAAACTTAGAACTAAAAAAAAAAGTGCAATTCTACATAATTCTGTCAAGTGCATCCTACTTGTTTCGCGTCACTCTTAATATTCGTGAGTGTTGAACATGTTGGAATTGAATCGACCCCCTGCAGACGCCCATCCCTCATCCAGAGACGTCTGTAATCTGTCATGTTCTCATAGATAGGAATAATTGGAGGATCTGGTCTCGATGATCCGGATATTCTGGAGGGGAGGACAGAACGGTATGTAGTCACTCCATTTGGAAAGGTGAGTGTCTCTGCATTGTGTCTGCTGTACTTTCTAGCATGCATGATTATTGCAGCACATTTGGAAGTTAATATGTGACCCTGCAGCACAAAAGCAGTGTTAAGTCGCTGGGGGATATTTGTAGCAATAGCCAACAATACATTGTATGGGTCACAATTATACATTTCTCTTTTATGCCAAAAATCATTAGGATATTAAGTAAAGATCATGTTCCATGAAGATATTTAGTAAATGTCCTACCGTAAATATATCAAAACTTAATGTTTGATTAGTAATATGCATTGCTAAGAACTTCATTTGAACAACTTTAAAGATGATTTTCTCAATATTTAGATTGTTTTGCACCCTCAGATTCCAGATTTTCAAATATTGTTCTATCATAACAAACCATACATCAATGGAAAACTTAAAAAAATGACCCTTATGACTGGTTTTGTGCTCCAGGGTCACATTATGTGCATTTGCTTTAATTAAACTGAGAAGTTGAAAAATGCTAATCGTGGTTTGCTTGGTCACCTTAATATATTAACAGCTGATAGGCAGAGCCAGAAGTGTATTTATTCATTCTCGTGTCCTCCTTTCTTTCAAAAGCCATCTGATGCTCTGATTTTGGGCAAAATAAAGAATGTTGATTGTGTGCTTCTTGCAAGGTGGGTACAATACAGTATGCAATGTTTTGACTTACACTTGAAATATCTGCTGGTTTTTGTATTTATTTTGCATGAACTTTTCCCCTTCTGCAAGGCATGGGAGACAACACACCATAATGCCCACCAATGTGAATTACCAGGCCAATATTTGGGCCTTGAAGGAAGCGGGCTGCACTCATCTGTTAGTCACCACAGCATGTGGTTCTCTCAGAGAAGACATCCAGCCTGGCGACATCGTTTTGATTGACCAGTTTATTGATCGGTTAGTGTTCAGTTTAACGATTGGAGGAAATACGGAGCTACTCAACAATATTGTATGAAGCAGACAATGAGATATCCTTTGTTGAAGGCATTTATTTGAAGGTGAATTTAAACTAATGCTTCACGACGAGACGAGCTGAAACTTGCTTGTGGAAGAAGTTCGTTTCAAGAAAAGTCAGTTCATTGCAATGCCTACAGAGTCCTCTTATGACGGTGGCCGAACAATGTGCATTAACGGTTAAAGAGTGTGGATCGGGATTTATGAATGTGTTTCTTTTTCTCCAACTCTGTCACTTTCAAATATTGTTATAAAATGAGTATGTTCCTATATTATTCGAACCCTAATCCAAACCTTAGGAACATAGCATGCTTTGTCATGTGTTTACATGCGCAATATAAATGAGGGGAAGATAGGACCCCAGGAACATAGGGCCCTTGAAACATAGGACCCTGGGAACATGGGAAATTACTAAAAATGTGTCTTGTTTGCTGTTTTTCACACAGCTTTTGTGCTCCCTTTGAAATTAATGATAAAGATATTCTAACAGTCCAACTCAAATCTGTTATTTGGCATTCAATGACATGCTACTTTTTTAATAATAATCATAATAATAATCAACATTAATATTCATGGAAGACAGTAACCCTACATTAGATTTGATTTTGAGCAAAACTGTAGCATCTCCATATCCATATAATACAAATTTTACTAGAGAAAAATGTTTATGGAGGAACATAAAGTATATTTTAGCTGAATCTCAGAAAAACTTTGAGAGAAGGTATCAATGGAAGCCTGTTTCCGTCACTGAATTAAAATAAAAAACAAAGTAATTGCAACTTCGCATCACGAAATTCAGACTTTATAACTAACAATTGCAAGCTTATGTAAAAGTACAAATTGCAAGTTTATATCTCACAATTCTGATGCAATTACCTTTTTTATTTTTATTGAGTGGCGGAAACAAGCTTCCACAGATACGTCTGTCGATTAACACCAGCGGGTGTAAAATTTGAACATTATTTTCTTTGCGTATACACATACTGCTGCCATAATAGGTCTTTGGATAGGTCTCAAAATCCTGCTTTTGGTGCTGTTGGATTATTATCAACGAATTATTGATGACGCTTCATTCATTGCAGAAGTGAAGATTTGTCTGTATGGTTTTAAGAACCACCCTGAACTTGAGGGCATGAGTACAGACTGCTGTGTGACACTTGCTTCTTGAGTTTGGTGCATATTCATATTTCCTTTTCTTCTTAATTTCCACGCCAAAATGTCCCACACCTCGCTGAATTCAAGGACAGCGAAGCGTGTTCAGACGTTTTATGACGGGCAGCCCACCAGCCCCACAGGTGTGTGTCACATCCCTATGGCTGACCCTTTCTGCAGCAAGACTAGAG